GACAAATTCAAGGACAAGCTAGGAAGCAGAGTGAAGGACAGGACTCGCGGACCTATTAGACGACTCCAAAGCAAGGCTTTCCTGCTAGGAGTTACGTATGTCCACACATACAATCCCACTCTCTTTTCACAGCTCTCAGCTGCGGGTTCCCCACTTACGAGGCCCAGCACGATGTGAGCAGGGTAGTTGGGGGCCAAGAAGCCACCCCCAATGCCTGGCCCTGGCAGGTGAGTCAACCACACTACTGGGTCTGTTACTTGGGCAGAGATGGGCACTGGCGGGCACACAGCAGGCAGCCTGGGCAACTTCACCCATACAGCACATTCTTGCATCCTTGGCCAATTTGGGGGCTGAGAGAAAGGTAACTCCTCCAGGAGACTTCAAAAAGGAGCTGCTGGGGGGCCCCCTGCTCTGAGACACACACTTGCAACGCCTGCTGACCTAAAGTTAGATGCTCGCTGGCACATATGGTCACCCTGTGAGTCAGTCACCCCTCCTATGCAAATATCCTTTGCTTGAAGGGACCAGTCAGAGCTGTTTATGCAAATTAATTCTTAATTACACTGTTACCAATGAAAACAACTGTTTCCTTACACTGATATAATCATAGCCCTGTCAAAACTGAAATTTGGTGCAGGCACAAATTACTAGATCTTTCATGGGACGTGTGTGACCTTTATAATGGATATGTTTTTAAAAATCTCTCTTACCTGGCATAATTTGCACTTAACAGTTGAAAAGTTGGCTTTAGAAAAGAATTTGTGGGCCGGGCAGTGGTGGCGCATGCCTTTAATCCCAGCACTCGGGAGGCAGAAGCAGGCAGATCTCTGTGAGTTCCAGGCCAGCCTGGTCTCCAAAGCGAATTCCAGGAAAGGTGCAAAGCTACACAGAGAAACCCTGTCTCGAAAAAACAAAACAAAACAAAAAAAAGAAGAAGAAAGAAAGAAAAAGAAAAGAATTTGTGGCCGGGCAGTGGTGGCGCACGCCTTTAATCCCAGCACTCGGGAGGCAGAGGCAGGCAGATCTCTGTGAGTTCAAGAATTTTTGTTGCTGTTGATTGTTTCGAGACAGGCTCATAGGCCTGTAAGATCCAGACTCAGAAAACCATACCCAACACCAAATACATTCTATCCATTTTGTTTTGTTTTGTTTTTTGTTTTTATTTTGGGGACAGGGTTTCTCTGTGTGGCTCTGCCTGTCCTGGAACTCGCTCTGTAGACCAGGCTAGCCTTCAGCAGATATCCACCTGCCTCTGCCTCCCAAGGCTAGGATTAAAGGTGTGTAGCACCATCGCCCAGTTTTTTTCTACAATTTTTAAATGTCAGAAGCATGTCTGTTTAAAATAGCTTTCCTGGGGAGCTGTAGAGAAGGGTCAGCACTGAAAAGCACTTGCTGTTCTTTCAGAGGACCCAGATTCAGTTCCCAGCACCCACATGGCAGTTCACAACAATCTGGAACTCCAGTTCCAGGCCATCCAATGCCCTCTTCCGGCCTCCACAAGCGCTAGACAAAGCACATGGTACATATACATACATGCAGGCAAACGCTCATACACATAAAATAAAAACCAGTGAGTATTCTTTTAGTTAGTTAGTTAGTTAGTTAGTTAGTTAGTTAGTTGCTTGCTTGTTTGTTTAGTTGGGTTCTCTCTATGTAGCTCTGGCTACCTTGGAACTCACAATGTAGAGAAAACTGGCTTCAAACTCAGAGACCCACTGAGGATTAAAGGCGTGTGCCACCTAAGTACAGTGTGGACTAGTTAAGCTCTTTCCATGGGTCACATTAGAAATAGTTACAGTCCTGCTGGTGTTGGTGCACACAGCTGCCTTTCTTTGCTCATGTGTAAAATGGACATGACAAATAGTAAATGGTGCCCTGTGGGGTCCCAAGTGATGAGAAATGACTCACGTGTTCAGCTCAGAAAGATGTGTGTCCATGGCAATGGCCATAGCATTTAATACTGTTCTACGGGAATTATTAACGATGCTGAGAGCCCTGTCCAAGTGGTCCCTATTTTCTTGATAAAGGAAGTGGGACTCTGAATGGTCGCATCAGAGCCCAAAGCCACCCTGTTGAGTATGGGAAGAATCAAGATTCATATTTGATTCAGGGCTTGAGTATGTTGCTCAGTTGGTGTTTGCAGGAAGTCCTGGGTTTGATCTGCAGCACCACATGAAATTTTGGACATGTTAGTGGTGCATGAATGTAATCCTAGCATTCAGGAGCTGAAGGCAGGAAGATCAGGAGTTCAGAGTCATCTTTAGTTATATAAAGGATTTGAGACCACCTTGGAATACATAAGATCATAGCAAAAAAAAATTTTAAGCAACTTATTTTTTGGTCCCCTCCATGCTGTAGGAAGCTATTTCTTTACTTCTCAAAAAACTTGCCTGGTTACCCTTCAAAACCAAAATCAATGGTTCAGTCCTGGCTTTTCTGCCCATGGGAAAAAGGTTTCTATCTTTAGGGAGGTTTTTGTGTTTTTGGTGTTTTGTTGTTTTTTTTTAATTTTAGATTGGTACAGAATCCTTTTGAGTATCTTTCTTCATTTTGTTTATTTTTAATTATACTTATTTATATTTTATGTGCATTTGAGTTTTGCCTCCATGTATGTCTGGGTGAGGTTCCTGAAACTGGAGTTATAGACAGCTGTGAGCCGCCATGTGGAGGCTGGGAACAGACATCTCTTGGATGTCAGAGGACAACTTGCAGAAGTCGTTCCTCTCCTTCCATGTGGCTCCACATGGTCCTGGGGATGGAACTCAAGTTGTCAGAGTTACTCACTGAGCCCTCTCACTAGCCCTCATGGGTCTGTCTTAAACATTTGCAGGTTTGGGATGGTACAGTGGACCAGCTGCTCAGGGGTGGTACCTGCCATGCTGAGCTGGGCCCTGAGCATCAATCGTGAATCAGGAAAATGCCCCCATCAACTTCTCTACAGGAAATATAATGGAGGCATTTTCTTTTCTTTTTCCTTTTTTGGAGGTATTTTCTCAATTGAGGTTCCTTCTTCCCAGATGACTCTAGTTTATATCAAGTTGACATTAAAGAAAAAAACTAACCAGCGTGTCCCTGCATTGCCACCCTCATCACTATTATCACCATCCCTCTCTCTCCTCCATCTTTTCTGCAGGTCTAGGGCTCAAGTCTAGGGCACACATGCTAGACAAGCTACATCATCCACAGCCCCTCCTATCTATTTCGTCATCTCTAGATTACTTACGATCCCTAATCACAGTGTCGTTGCTATCTAGATCATCATCCTGTGATACTGTTTAGTGAATGATGACAAGGGAAAAGTGTGTGTGTTTTTGTACAGATGCAAGTTTTTTCCTTGAGCAGTTCTCATCTGTGGCTGTTGAGTCTGAGGTGGAGAGCTGGAAGGCTGATGGTGTTTATCAAGGACCTACTATATACCGCCCATAGACCCCCTAGACCACAGTACGCAGGGGTGGGATTCACAGAACTTACGTTAAAGTCAAGGAGCTGGGCAACAAAGAAGCCAGTGTGTAAAAAGCAATGCAGTAGGGGAGATGTGTGCAGGTGTGCAGGTGTGTGTGTACTTGAGTGACATGTGTCTTAGTTAGGGTTTTTGTCGCTGTGATAATAGATGGTGGTCAAAAGCAACCCGGAGAGGAAAGGGTTATTTCAGCTTATACTTCCATGTAACAGTCCATCATTGACGGAAGTCAGGACAGGAACTGAAGAAGGGCAGGAACCTGGAGGCGGGAGCTGATGCAGAAGCCATGGAGGGGTGCTGCTCACTGTCTTGCTCCTCATGGCTTGCTCATACAGCTTGCTTTCTTATAGCACCCAGGACCACCAGCCCAGGGGCTGCGCTGCTTACAAGTGAGCTGGGACCTCTCACATCCGTCATCATCGATTAAGAAAATGCACCCCAAGCTTGCTTACAAGCCAGTCTGGGGGAGGCGGGGAGCATTTTCTCGGGGATGTTCCCTCTTCCCAAATGACTCTAGCTTGTGTCAAGTTGACATAGTACTTGCCAGGACAGCATGCATGTGCATGTGTGCACTGTTCTGGATGGTGTTGTCATAGAAACTTCATGGAGAGGGTGGCATCAAGTAGAGACCAACAGGACGGGGAGGAAGTTATGCTAGCAGACCGCCAATGCAAACACCCTGAGACAGAAGTGGTTCCGCCTACCTGGATAACAACTTGACAGAGGTCTGTGTGGCTGGCGCAGGGGAAAGTGAGCATCTGCAGGGTCAGAGCGGTGATGTAGGGCCTCATCACGTTGCGTTATGTGAGAGCAGTGTCTGGATGGTCTGGGCAGGGCAGTCCTCATCAGACTTCCATTAATAAAGGACTGCTCTGGCCGCTGCACACTGAGAAAATATGGGTGACTGGGCATGCGGCTCACACTGCAGTCTCAGCACTTGGGAAGTAGATGCAGGCAGTTTGGGGGGTTAAAGGTCAGCCTGGGCTGTATAGCAAGATTCTGTCAGAAATGAAAGGAAAGAAAACGTAGGATGAGGGGTGGGATAAGTGCAACAGTGCAGGCCCACTAGGTAGCCCAGGCTGGCCCAGAATTATCCTCCTGTCTCAGGATCCTTTGTGCTGAGATTACACATACATTACCATGCCCTATTTAATGTTTTATATATATGTATATATATAAATCATGGGTTTGTGTTCATTTTTGTTGTTTTAAGACAAGATTTCATATAACCCAGGCTGTCCTGGAACTTGGTACATAGCCAAGTTTGTCCTTGATCCCCCTGCCTACACATCCCAAGTGCTGGGATTATAGGCATGTACAACCACAGCCAGTTTTGTGTTAACTTTTTTCTATACAGCATTAAAATGCTTTTTATAGTAACTAGGTTTGGTGACACACATCAGCAGCCCCAGTGCTCAGGAGGTGACAGCAGGGGGCTCTAGGTCATCCTTGGCTTTGTACCAATAGACCCTGTCTGGTGGGGAGGAAAAGGTTTTGATCTCGGTGGTTGAGGATATCCCCTAAGTACAGGACCTGAGGCAAGTGCCCTGCCCACCTTGCCGTCCTCCACGGCTCTCCCACCCATGCACCTGTGCTTCCCCTCAGGTCTCCCTGCAGTACCAGTCCGCGGGGAGGTGGTACCACACCTGCGGAGGCTCCCTGGTGGCCAACAACTGGGTTCTGACAGCTGCCCATTGCATCAGGTAACCAATCACCTTTCCCTGCCTACCCAATTGTTCACCCTATCATCGGGTGACACTCAGCCCTAGAGCAAGGATCCCCAAGGGGCCTGATCCGCGTACTGTAAAGGAGTCTGGAGAGCTGCCACTTGCCTGGCTGAGGCACAGGCACAGATCTATCTCTGGTTTAGTGTTGTTGAGTTCCCCGGTCCATATATGGCACACACCGAGTGCCTTGTGCCAGGAGGATGCAGAGGAGGGAGAAAGCACCTCCCTCCTTGGGAATACCAGTGACGGTTCTGGACAGGGAACTGTTTCCTTCATGACACTCTGCATTGGAGCGTCCTTGTTCACTGAGGCTGGAAAAAAGAGGTCACTGACCTGTCACTCTGCCCTCACAGTAGTTCCAGGACCTACCGTGTGGTGCTGGGCCGGCACAGCCTCTCCACCTCGGAATCTGGCTCACTGGCTGTTCAGGTCTCCAAGCTTGTGGTCCATGAGAACTGGAATGCCAACAAGATCGCCAACGGGTACATTCTGTCTTGTCGGGTCCTTTCAGGGGTGGGTTTGGCAGCCACACAGAGAAGGGTCAACCCACCCCTCCCCTGCCCCTTCTGTGTGGAAGGGAAGGAGCTCTCTTGTAGAGATGGAGCCACCGCCATAGCTGCTGGGGCCGATGTGGGAATGGTGGAGTTACCAGAGGAGGGAGACGCCAAGACTGTGGGAGGTTCTGCTACCCTGCCTGCTGGGTCAGCCTGAGATTGTACATGGGAAAACGACAAAGGCTGGAAACCGGTAGGCAGGAATAGTCAACACCCTTGGTGTTCTACCTTTCTCCTGATCCAGGAATGACATTGCCCTGATCAAACTGGCCAGCCCAGTGACCCTGACCAGCAAGATCCAGACAGCTTGCCTCCCAGCTGCGGGCACCATTCTTCCCAACAACTACCCCTGTTACGTCACAGGCTGGGGCCGGCTGCAGAGTAAGTGAGAGCAAGCAGGAAACCCCAAAGCCTGGCAGGGAAGGGAGGTGGTGTCACCTCCGTCCCTGGGGTGTTTGACTGCCTTGGAGGTGCAGGCTAGCAGAGATTGCTAAGTACACCTGGTTCAAATCTCAACTCTCCCCCTATTAGCGATGTGATTCAGGCACATTGCTGAGCCTCTCTGGTGGCTTCCTCATCTGTGAAATGGGGTGAAGAACAGCGGAGGGAGGGAGGGTGGGGTAGCAGCAGTTAACAAGGTGCAGGGAGGTGAAGGAAGTCAGTCCAGAGCAGCACTTATGACTAGTAACTAGGGTGAGGGACAAGTATACAGGCCACACCGTGTATTTTATGTGGCCCAGGGCCAGAGCTCAGAAGAACATGTACTCTGTGACCTCGGGCTTCTGGAGCTCTGTGAAGTCCCCAGAGCTCTCACCAGAACCCCCATCTCACGGTCTAAAGCCGGGCCAGCTTTGATTGGTTAGTGTTCTGGTCACTGGTGATTGGTTCAGGAATAAGCACCTGACCCAAGCTAAGCCAATAGGAATTGGGGATAGAGAAGACGCTATCTCAGACATTGGTGGTGGCCTGTTTCTTCTCTGCCGAGAGGAAGGAGGCCCGAGTGCCAAGCAAGGAAGCTGAGCTGGAGAGGAAGGGAGATAGCTCAGGCTTCTTGGACAGACAGACACACATTGCTCAGCACGGGCCCTTTGGGAAACCACTTAAAGCCTAGTTCCTCATTTGTCAAGCGGAAAGTCGATGAAGATCAAAGATGCGTGTGGAGTGCTCTGGACCCCAGACAGTGCCAGCCAAGTGTCGAGTGTGTGCTAATGAGAGCAGTCTTGGGCAAGATCCTTAAATCCCGTGGCTTCTGTGCCCCATCTGTCTGTCGCACAGGAGTAAATATCGCTGTGAGGACTGGCCTGTTTGGAGAGCCTGGTCAACTGCAATTGAGGGGTGACGATGAGGGCCGGGGTGATAGCTCAGCTGGGAAAGTGTCTGCCTTGTAAGCATGGGGACCCAAGTTCCAGCCTCAGAAGCCGTGTAAAGAAGCCAGGTTTGGCGGTGTGTACTTCTAATCCCAGCTCTGGGAATGTGGAAAGAGGCAGATCCCTGGGGTTCAACAGCCATCCAGCCGAGCCTAATTGGGTGAGCCCTGACCCAAAAGAGTGACGGCACTACAGCAGCAGTTCTCAACCTGTGGGTCGCAACCCCTTTCAGGGTCACATAGTAGATATCCTGCAGATCAGATATTTACATTATGATTCATAACAGTCGCAAAATTACTTTTATGAATTAGCAATGAAAATAATTTTATGGTTGGGGGTCACCACAACATACAGAACTGTATTAAAGGTTCAAATCATTAGGAAGGCTGAGAACCACTGCACAAGAGGTTGCTCCCGACCTCTATATGCAGAGAGAGAGAGAGAGAGAGAAAGAGAGAGAGAGAGAGAGAGAGAGAGAGAGAGAGAGAGAGAGAATAGGAAAATGAACTTTATTCTGGCCAACTATGGCAGTGATGTCGGCAGTGTTTTGGGGGCCATGAGGAAAACTACCTTCATCACAGATTTTTCCCCCCAGCTAGAAGGCTCTCTGTCATAGTTAAGAGAAATCTGCGGAACTAGCCTAGCAAAAGAGGAATTCTAACTCAAGTGCAGACACATGGCTAGGTGTCAGGAATATTCCAGAACAAGGAGTCTGAACCTGTAAGAAATCATAAGCTTTCCTTCAAAGAGTCTTTCTGGCTTCACCCTTCTCTACATAAAAAGGCATCCACAGCCTACAGCTCTCTGGCTTTCATCTCTTTATGCACTCGCCAAAAATCTCAGAGGAAGGAGCTCATTGGCTTTAGCCTGAGTCAGGTTCACCCCTGAACCAATCACCAATAGCCAGCATACCAGCCAATCAATTGAGGGCACAGTGTAAACTAACATGGCCGCCTTCCCTGCAAGCTCCAGGCATCCTCCTGTCTCTGTCCCCACCCTCACGGCCACACTTGGCTCTTTCCACAAGCACGGGGGATCTGAACTCAGGTCCTCATGCTTTCGTGGCAAGCACTTCACCGACAGTCCCACAGCCTCCTTCTTACTCGGAGTCTCTTTGCCCACTCGCACCTTCTCTCTGGTCTCCTCCAGCCAACGGGGCCTCTCCCGACGTCCTGCAGCAGGGCCGCCTGCTGGTTGTGGACTATGCCACCTGCTCCAGCGCCAGCTGGTGGGGAAGCTCTGTGAAGACGACCATGGTGTGCGCTGGTGGTGATGGTGTGACCTCCAGCTGCAATGTGAGTATCCACAACCAGGTGTCCCAGTCTACAACCAAACGTGGCTGGGATGGTGGCGGGGGTGGGGTTGGGTGAAGTGTTGGGGGGGTATCCTAGGATCCATCTCTCCCTCCTTTTTAGGCAGGAGCCTTGAAAACGGTTCTGGACCATTTCAGAGCCTGACCTCTGTTCTCACAGTCCCCAGGAAAGATGCTTTAAGCTCCATCACCCTGTAGCATCCTCTTGGCCTAACTGCTAGGAAGTCTTTAGTTTTTCCTTGGAGCTCATCCAGGTCTCTCATTACTGTCATCCCCCTGTAGTGGCCCCTCGGGTAGCTGCTAGAGAAGTCTTCTTAAAGACTGTCATGAATCAAAGGACTTGCTACAGGCAGATTCTTCATAGGAGGACAGAGGGGGAGGGGGTCCCCACACCTCAAATACAGTCAGTGCCTTGACTGTATAGACCCCCTTACTCCATGGTCTCGTTAGTGCCTTGAATGCATAGACCCCTCACTCCATGGTCCTCTACAGGCAAGTCCTAGCCTCTGAACACTCAGTTGCCTTTTCCAATGAACCCAAGAAACTCACACTGGCCTCATGGGCTTAAAAAGAGAAGAGGCATAAAAAGTGCTTAGCTGCAATTTGGGACACATGGCAGCACTAGGGAGGGTGAGGCAGGGGGATGGTTGCATGTTTTAGCTCAGCCTTGGCTACATGGAAAGACCCTGTCTGGGGTGGGGGTGGGGGGATTTGAGCAAAGCTGGAATGATAATCCACACTTGTAATGCCAGCATTTATGAGGCTGAAGCAGGAGAGCCACATTGTGAGGCCAATCCCCAAATAAAGACATGCCAGCTCCTGTAAATAAGGTGCCACACACAGCCTGTGACCATAAGGCTGGCCTCAGAGGACAGTGACCTCAAAGAAGAACAATATTAATATACTAAGAACCAGGCCCCATTGGGCATCTTTTCCTCCCTCCACACCCGACTTTGGCTTCTTCAGGGGGACTCCGGTGGACCACTGAATTGCCAGGCATCTAACGGCCAGTGGCAGGTGCATGGCATCGTGAGCTTTGGCTCTACTCTGGGCTGCAACTACTCCCGCAAGCCATCTGTCTTCACCAGAGTCTCCAACTACATCGACTGGATCAACTCGGTAAGAGCCACCAGCCCCAAGCCCACCGTCTGCCATGAGGCCTGCAGGGGTTCCCAGAATCAGCAAGTGTATCTCATTTCTTCTTCTGGCCATATAGGCCCAGCCCCCACCCTCCAATGCAGTCAATGATCATATGTATTTACAAAGCCCACACCCAATGGTTTGAGACTCCTACAGTCTTAGTTATTAGCACTTAATTCCCCTGAAAAGTGCTCCCCTAGCCCCCACAAGATGACCAACTGTCCCCATCTGCCCCAGGACAAAGGACTATTCAGTTCTGTGTTGGGCCACTCCCAAGCAAATGGGACTGAGTTTATCTTCCTGTGCCTATGTATCCCCAGAGAGTCTTCTCCTGGAAGCCCAATTTCTTTTTACTATATAATAACCACAAATTATTAAAAGATAATAGGGGGAATGTAGGCAGTCAAGTACACGCCTTTCAAGTACAGGGACCCGAGTTCACTCCCCAGAATCCATGTAAAAAGCCAAGCATGGAAGCCTGTGCTTGGAATCCCAGTGCTGGGGAGGCTGAGACAGGATCCCTGAGACAAGCTGGCTAGCCAGAGCAGCTGAGGATACAGACAGAACAGCAGGAAACTGGCATAATCAAAGGATGGAAGGAATGCTGAGTCTGGAGAGGGATGCTAGGAAGGGAGGGGGTTCTGCCCACACAGTGTTTTGGTTTGGTTTGGTTTTTCAAGACAGGGTTTCTCTGTGTAGTTTTGGTGCCTGTCCTGGATCTCACTCTGTAGACCAGACTGGCCTCGAACTCACAGTTCGCCTGGCTCTACTGGCGTGCTGGGATTAAAGGTGTGCACCACCACCGCCCGGCCACACCACACGGTGTATTTTAATCCACCTCTGTGTAGCCACCCCCTTGGTTTGTTTTTCTGTAAAATGGACTTGAACTGAATGGACTCCTCAGCGAGGAAGGTGGCACTTGTGACGGGGCCCATAAAGCAGGGAAGCTGCCATTGTCTCATTATCTCCAGTTCAACTTGCAGGGAACCTTAAATTGAGTTAGACTGCTAGAAAACCAAATATGAGCTGGCAGCTGTGAGCACGTGCCAGAGGGAGAGGGCGCTGTCAAAGCCAGCCTGAGGCTGCCTCCAGGTTTGCCCACTCACGCTTGCCAGCTTCTCAGTCATGTGTCTGTGCTGGTTCTGTTCCCCCCCCCCCGCTGGACTCAGCCCCAGAGCTTCCAAGATTG